TGTTCATCCATTCTTTTCTCCTGCGATCTCAAAATAAGGCTGAAGAAATCTTCATCGGGAACAGTTGGCCCTTTTGGAATGTTTGGTGGTGGTTCACATCTCTGGTCATCTAATCGAGAGCCCTAAAAAAAAAAAAAGACCACATTAAAACCACTGTTTTATTTTAGTTTCAGCTAGTCCATTTTTCCAAGGAAAGCCTACTGGCATCCATTTTGAACCCGAGTGTCTTCCAGAATCATTCTGAACAGTTATTCCAACAGACTAATGACTTAAAGTTTAATATTCATTTGATGAAAAAAAGAACTACATGTAAAAGTAGACCCAGAAGTCGATACAGGAGAGCAAAGAGGCTGGCATTGAAATGCCCGTATCCCTACATACACATCAGCCGCCAACAAAGGGATCAAACCCTTGAACCTTAAATTTCCTTGTTGGATAGTAACTTATGGGCAAACGACTGCACTCCTACACACTTACCTGGGAGGATGGCCCACCAACAGTACTTATTTTTATATACGAATGGGATCCTACAAGATATATTAATATACGGTATTCCTCATAGCACTTCAACTAATAAGTTTCCTACCAAACTGAGCCTCCAGGAAAACAAATGGAGTGGTACTTGCTGCTTGAGGGGAGTGAAGCTGCATCTGAAATACTTGGAAACACGGTATCCAACTGAGTTTTCATTAAAAAATAAAACAATCTAACTTAACTGTGTACAATGGTAATCTGTTAAACTTTGGAATATCCTCTACGAATATCAAATGCTTTAAGTGCCTATCCTTTATCCGGGCAAAATACATTAATAGAAAAGAAGAAAGTATCAAAGGCTGAGGAAACCCTAAATATTAGGGAAATACAAAATAATTCTGAAAATAAGACTTTTAAAAATTTTATCTTAAAACTACATAAATCTTTGCAAGCGACTGAGCACACAAATGGGGATTTTGCATGCATCCATAGTGAGCACTTCAATTTTGAACTCATTTGTGTGCTGAAACATACGTCTGTTTTTTCTTGATAAATATAGGCTTTTGTGCTAATAAAAGAAAAGAACAGGATATCCGCAGGCAGATAAAAAAAATACACAACAATGACTATACTCAATCTGTCAAAACACTGATCTGTGCTTAATTTAGATTTAAAATTCACCTTTAAAAACAGTTCACTAGAAAAACAACATTGTTTAGTAGAAACAATAATCGCTTAAACGTGATTTTGAAAAATTGCTTTGGACCTTGCATGGAGACATACAGCATATATATACTACTCATTAAATCAGCCTGACTTTTTTCAGGTTTCTATATGGTTCACTATGAATGAATAATATTTTTACCATCATTGTTTTTGTACAAATACCACCCCCCTGGATATATACTTTCTATGCAGAAATAGTTTTAAAGTTTACAACAGAAATTCAATTTCACCGCTCACTATGATGCACATTCATTTTGCTGCACTACGTTTATGGCTGTGCTGTGCATCAAAATGTGCAGCAGTGCGAATGCATCTCTTATCTACAATCCATTACAATCATGTAACTAAAAAGTCACAAAAACGCTGCAATCGTGCATCTGATGTATTTCTTCAACAGCACAGTCCTGTTATTTTTAACATGCCTATGTCAAATATGTTGGCATATTACCATTTAAAATGCTTAACGGAGAAATACAAAGGGTAATAACCATCTAAGATCTTTCAGCAATTATTTTAACACTCTAGAAGAGGCACAGATTTCTGACGTGTTTATTAATGTATTACAAGGCAGGAATACTATTTGGAGCCCCATTACGATTTAAGATAACATCTAGGCCAGGGGTAGGCAACCTTGGCTCTTTTATGACTCGTAGACTTTAACTCCCAGAATTCCTGAGCCAGCCATGCTGGCTCAGGAATTCTGGGAGTTGAAGTCCACGAGTCATAAAAGAGCCAAGGTTGCCTACCCCTGATCTAGGCTGAGAAGTTGGTTTTAATAAAAGCAGGAACTGGAAAATCCAATATACTCTTCTATTTTTGATCTGTTGTTAAGGGGTTGAACTTACCATTATGAGATAAAACTACTTAATTAGCATAAAAAAGATTTTAAATAAAGTTATCATATGTGGTTTTTTTAATACTCCTAAATTTACTGAATGATTCAACTGACAAAAGATACCACCAGGAGATTCTATTAAACAACCACCAGTACTTGTTTTAGAATGTCTTTTTAAGAATGCACGCCACACAGAATATCCAATCAACCAAAAACTCACCTGGCATTTTATTAATATATCAAAGAAGTCATCATCTGGTTCGCTGTTCTTGCTGGCCATTAGGTGACCAAGGACTGACTGACTATTATGCTGATTAAGACGAAGTCCAGGTAAATTGCTGGCACTGGCTCGCTGATCATCTAATCGCCTACTCTGAGAACTAGCAAGCATATCTAAAAATTCATCCGTATGTGGAGAGAGCATTGAAGCAGAAAAGGCTGCAAAAAAAATAAAAAATAAAAAAAACTTTATATGTAGAAAGCAGCAAGAGGTGCAACAGTATACTGGTTAAAGCGATATCTAATTTCATTTAAAGAGGTGGCAATGTTATATAGACTTTATAATTAATTACATTTTTGCATAATTCTGGATGGGGTGGCAGAAGCAGCCACTGTCAGTCTGTTCCTGTCCTGGAAACAATATCGCTGATCATCCATACGGTTGCTCTGAAATCGGCTCAACAAGTCAAAAAATCCTTCGTCTCCAGGGACTTCTAAGCTGCTTTTCTTAAAAATAATGAAGAACAAAAGTAAATACAAATAATACCAACCATTTATGAAACAGTAGGAGAATTTTAATTCAACTTACATAAATCAGATTAAGTATTATTATGGGAAAGAAGTGGAAAACGTCCAGTGAAGAAACACTAAAAATATTGGGGCTATAAAGTAAGTTTGATATAATGCTATTTCAACATAAAAGAGCATTTCAACCTAATTTCTCACTTGTAGATACAACTTTATCATTTATTCATGCGCATCAACAATACTATTTTCACTTCACTTCTAAATGTTTATTCATATATAAATATTATTTAATTGATTTCTAACTTGTGGTCTTAGAATTAGTCTGAGATAATCTAAACGTTCATTATATGCTCTGAATCAGTTACAGTTGGAATGGCATGTAAGCCTAGTAAATAAATAAGTATACATGAGAGTTTTCATTTCCAAAAATTAGGCAAAGCAATAAAAATTGGCATATTTCTAAAAATGTTTTATATATATCAAATAAAATATTGAAGTTTTAAAATGTTTATTTCTCCACAAATACCTTCTGTGAATTTAATCGATGGTCAATAGAGTTACTAGCATCCTGAAGAACTTTAGAAGAAGTAATGTTTTTGTATTTTTTCCCTTTTAATCGATTTACAAAGTACAGTTTTGCTGAAGGTTTGGGAACCAATGGTTTCTGTTTAGCTAGAATTTCACTGTTCCAATCCTGAACCTAGGAAACAGGTAACAATGTATACTAAAACACTATCCAGAAAACAGTTTTTCAATAATATGAAATGCAAAAATGCAAGTTAATTTAATTTTTCCACCTCTATTAAAACACAGCTAATTTATTCATGTTTGTAAAACTAGTGCTTTAACCAACAATACAAATCAAATTTGACCATAATTGCAGGAAAAAACCCTTAACAGTAAATCCTATATTTCTAAGGTGCTAAACATGAATCTGGCAATCAAGCTTGGGGTCACATCAATGTACACAGATTGTACACAGATACAATAGCCTTGTTTGTCCCAATGCTTTATATCAGTGATGGCGAACCTATGGCACGGATGCCAGAGGCGGCACTCAGAGCCCTCTCTGTGGGCATGCCTGCTGCCACTGCCACCAGCTCGCACAGGTCCATTAGGCCACCGCCGGCGCCCGGAGTGCCAACCCCATCCAGCACAAAGGAGGCGAAGCAGCTGGCTAGCAAGCTCGAGTAGAGGCGGTAGAGTGCACCCCCATGCGCTCGCTGGCCTCTGTGTGCAGGGGCTGGTGGTGTCAGGCAGCAGCCGCCCCTGCCTCGCCTTGCCCCGCAGTAATGGCACCCCCGCCCTACCCCCTGCCTCACCCCGCAGGATGCGCCACCCACCAGAGGCCCCTTGGATCTCCCCCAATCCTGCCCAGCCCCCACAGGAATCCCCCCCACGAGAAACATCAAGGTGGCCACACCCACCCTGGCAACACCCACTCAGTCTGCCATGACCACCACAGCCACGCCTGCCCCCACCCCCGAGGACACCACAATGCTGACGTGGCCCTGGCACTTTGCGATACATAAGTGGGTTTTGGG